ATAATATGTAATTTACAGAAGGTATTTTATGATCTAAAAAACGCTAGCAAAGCCGTTTTTAAATTTATCACTGTTTTATACCGAGTTAATTACTATTTGTCATTTTTATCTATTTGACTAAGTAAAAGTGCAAATAAATCTTTCCAAATACATATTTTTCCTACTTTTTTTCACAAGTATATTTACAAAGAATGAACGGTAGCTAATATGATACTAAATCCTGTATATGTTTTAAATTTCGTTTGTAATTTGATACTATTTTTTAATGTACACTCTTCGAATTGTAGGGTATTGAACAACGACGAGAAAACTATCAATGTACAGTAGAATAAAAGTTGTCGAGGACTATACTGAGTATCAGAATATATATGGTGAATTAATATCTAACGTATTTTGTATATGAGCCTAATGTAATTTACTGTATAAAATAGAAATTTTGGCTGATTACAGAGTTCCAAATTATTGTTTGATAAGCTCCAGCGATTGTCTTTATATTTTTTACACCGATTTTTTTACTCCGTCAAACAAAGCTCGAGATAAGATTATTTTATTCAGTCGCTGTGGGAAAACACACCTTGTTTACTCTGTTGTGTTTCCGGTGATTTTGTTTTATCTCCGGCGTTCGTTTCACTTATTGATTTAAGTGCACAAAAATACACGTAAACACATATAACCACTAAGAACAGCATTAGATAGGATATGAAACGAAGGCAAATAAATATAAAGAATCATTTCTTTGTTTGTATTGAAGCGGAAAGTAAGTTATCTGCGATATATCCACCGCGGGAAATCGAGCCACGAATTTTTCAATTATAATCGCTCAACTTTACATCTGAGCTAATGGAGGATGTGAAGAATCAACAACACTTTGTTTAATTTATAAATTGTGTTAGCTGGATTATTTTAGACAGGATCGAAGTTTTTCCACAAGCTCGTGATTTTATTTCAGCTGAAGGTAAAACGAATATACGAATATTATCCTATTTTGTTGTTGGAAAGTTCTTAACTTTTAAATCTAAAATTATACTTCAAATTTTGTAACATAAAATACTGTATACGTTTCATTGATTAATTCTGTTGTTTGTAAACGGGATGAATTATCTTGATTTGGTTCACCGTTATCATATTCACACACAGGGTAACAGTAACGTAAAAGGGATGAATTATCTTGATTTGGTTCACCGTTATCATATTCACACACAGGGTAACAGTAACGTAAAAGGGATGAATTATCTTGCTTTGGTTCACCGTTATCATATTCACACACAGGGTAACAGTAACTGTTTATCGTATGTCTGGTTGAAGAGTCCTGTTTCATATTTCACTTTTTCCTAAAGCCGAACACAGGGACATCTTTATTATTAACTTAAGTATCACTACTGGTAAACAGATTAAGTATACCAGAATTAAACAGCAATCCTGTTCAGTATAGTAATCTTAACTTGAACACTTTATGTTTGTGTACTTTTTAAATTTCTGATTGTACAATGGTATTCAAATTCCTTGTCGGTTCAGAAGATAACAAATACATTGGAACTTAATCGATTGTTTAAATTATATTTTTTTTTTGCAAAGATTACCAAATCTACAGGGTGTTCTAAAAGCTACTTGCTTTACAGTTAAATCTTTTCCGTGTGAATAACATTTAATTTTTAGCGCCATGTTCATGTACTGTTTACATGTAGTCATATATTAATCTGAAACAGATTACAAAATTAGTATTCTCTTCTGAGGGAAGTAGCTTTCGGACGAACTTGTAGTTTTCCTGCGTGTTATGCACTTGATGAAAGAAACAACTGATTTCATGTGGTCTTCTAGATAATGTGAGAAACCTGTCGCAACCGCCAGTAAGCTCAATATTTACTTATAAAGCTCAGGACTGGAATACCAACAAAATTAGGTTAAGTAAAAACACATTCCAAGTCTGTGTTGAGTTAGAAACAGATCATTTGGTGATCTGTATTCATAGCACGAGATTCCTAGCCTAAGAAGAAGTGTTCTGTGATGTGGAATGTTCAGACTGAAAAAAAATCCAGTAGTGAACTCTTATTCAGAATATTGTTTTCGTTCCTCTATTCTCAAAATATTTGTAAACTCTTCGGTGCGTTTACTAAAGATCTTCATACATTCCCTAAACACATCTGATGAATTTCCAAATAATATATTAATCGAATAAGATACGAACATTTTAAATTGGTAAAATGTTCTAGTCCATCCAGCTATAGCTATTCTTTTCATTAGCTAACAGGCCGATCTACTTACTGCTGGTTTATATGGATTACATTTTTTTCTAACATTAAATATCTTGGATATCTTACTAAAGCCTAGACAGAGCATCGCTGCTCGATATTCCTAAAAGGTAATTACTTTTTTCAACATATTCAAATTGAGGAGTTTGGATCCCTCCAAATACATAGAAATTCCAACTACAATTATAATTCTGCTTCTTGCAGCTATTCTCTCTAAATGTTCTTTTAAATATCATATAATAAAGCATGTCATCAAATTAACTAAATTTGTCGTATTGATTAACTTTTTGTATACATGTCTATATTTTTTTCTACCATAAGGCACCACTTTATGAAATCCTTTTCCCTAATAACAAGCCATAACTTCGGTAATAGTTAGGCTTTATTTTGTTTTCAGAAACCGTCTAAAGCGGAAAGAAAATTATATATAGCAAAATATATTTTCGTCGAGCACTACCGAAATGAATTTTTCTTCTGATTTCAGGCTCATTCTATAAAATTTCTCATTAAACTATAACATTTACCACGTTTGCTGCTGTAACCTTTTTGGAAGTAGGCCTAATTATATATATATATATATATTTGCACAATTCTGAAGACTATCTAATAAAATAATAAATCATTCACGGCTTTATCACTTAACTCATTAAAAACAAGTCTCTCTGTTAAAAAAGTGATTCTAGAAACTTTTTGAACTGTACAAACTCTAAATACCTGAAAAGTAAAGAAAAAAGGCCACGAACATTTCCGACTGTACATTCATGAAACATTTTGATAAATAAAAAGTTGTTAAACTATTTAGATTTGCCATTACAACATGAATCGTCATTGGTGTTGATAACAGGTATACTAATACTAATAAGTTTAAAAAGATTAAAATAAGTAAAAAATATTCAAAATACTGTAGAATGGTGAAATTGTCTGTCATCCAATAAAATCGACCTTACTTAATGTGTGTGAAAAAAAGGCTGTAATGTAAAAAAAATGTGATTATTGAAAAACGAAATCACTATATAATTAAATAGTTTCATTCTGTAAACATTTTGGTTTAGTTTGTTTGTTTTTGAATTTCGCGCAAAGACTACACGAGGGCTATCTGCACTAGCCGTCTCTAATTTAGCAGTGTAAGACTAGAGGGAAGGCAGCTAGTCATCACCACCCACCGCCAACTCTTGGGCTACTCTTTTACCAACGAATAGTGGGATTGACCGTCACATTATAACGCCCCCACGGCTGAAAGGGCAAGCATATTTTGGTGTGACGGGGATTCGAACCCGCGACCCGCAGATTGCGAGTCTAGCGCCTTAACCACCTGGTCATGCCGGGCCCTTTTGGTTTAGACATCTAATAAATAACGATTGATTTAAAACATAAAACAAACAAACTACAAACGATTTGTTTAGCATTGTACGTAATATAAAACAAACAGTTAATAGGTGACAACGAAGTTTTGCGACATTTTCAATTTTAATTAAATAAATGAAACAAAACAAGTGTTTTAAATGGAATGAAATAGGATTTAGACTCATGTCTATAAACGTAAACTTATGATCAAAATTGTTATTGTTTTTTACGTTGAACTTCAGCTACTATAGCACGAAGTATTAATGATACCCAACATACTTTCTTCGGCTATATATATATAAATACGAGCAGGTCTGAAGAACATATAAAAACGAGCTTAAATCTATCATAGCATTGTTAGTATTTCAGCACGTGCAGATAACTATCAAAATAAACTAGTGTATTTAGACATCCTCTTATTTCTAAGTTTCGGAAGGTTTAAACAAATACCCAATAAAGACACACAATGGGCTTTTGGAAATCCTTCAGAATTTAATACTGAGTTTTCGGTATAGAAGGGATGAAAATAGATTAAATGTCGTAAGAATCGTATTGCATATACTCAGATGTACAAATTCTGTAAACGTAAAGTAATCTGACATAATCGGAACATGCAACATATCTATAACATGTAATATATTTCAATGTAAAAGTACAGTTTTATAAATAGTTATCTTCATTAGAGTATAACTAAGATGCAAATTTAGGAAGTAGATTTTGATTGTCTTTAATGATAATGCTTGACTGAATAAACTTTTATCTACCGATGTAAAAGTATTAAATATATCTATTCTGTTTGCTAATCATTGGTCTCCCAGTGGCTCAGTGTTAAATCTGAGGGTTTCCTTGGTGTAGCTATGTGTTTGACAAGAAACAAGAGTTAATCAGTTTGGCAAGAATTTTATTGGTTCGTAGTATTAAAGAAAAGTATTTCTTATTTTAACTTTATTTGTTTCTAACCTTCAAAGTTATATTTCAGAAGATAATTTTAGTAAAGTAAAACGTAATATATAATGTTGTATATTTTCTCAAAAGTGAATTGAGGCTGGTACGTGTAAAACATTTCACGATTTAGTACAATAGGTCCAATACAGATCTGTGTTTATTTTCAGACAAGTCTTGTCTCAACACTATACAAGAATAAATCTTGTAATGACAAGACACAATAGCTTAAGAAAACGGATAACACGTTTTACAATAGAATGGTGGAACTGAAATACGAATACATGCTTGCCACAGTTAATGTATTGCAAGCTTTTAGGTATGCTTGCTTTAAATGTGTTGCAAAACGTGTGTTAAATATAACTGTTCATTACACTATCAAAGAAAATTCTTCAACATCTTAACCCGGAATTGTAAAATGTCATTACTAAAGCATCTCGTTTTATATACGATGACAAGTCTTCTTCAAATGTGCACCAATGACGACTGCTTTATGTTGGAAGTTGATGGAAATGGCTGATTGTGAATCACTTTAGCTTTTTCATTTGCATGAGTCCTTAAGCTGCACAGTTTGATCAAAAATCTTTTCCAAGAATCTATGGTTTTTCTGGACCAGATCCAAAACCCCGATGTTATGCCAACAACAAGAAACATAAAATACTTTAGCATGAAGACGGAGTAATCTGGCCTAACATCAGGAGCACTACAATGGCATTTATGTTCCCGTTCCCACACATCTCTGGAGACATGCTCGTAAACGTAGCAACCGATGACGGAGGTAGCGGGCACAGTGTACAAAACAGAAAACACACCAATTCGGATCATCAGCTTTTCTAATTTATCGACACTCTCTGTTGCTTGCTGCCTAATAACGCCTCTGATCCTGAAGAGCTCCACGTATCCGCCTAAAAGGAAAGAAGTTCCCAGAAGAAGGTAAACACACAATGGAATTAGAACGAATCCTCTCAAAAGAAGAACGTTTTGGTTTCCGACGTAGCATATTCCAGCTACTGGATCACCATCTATTCCATCTATAGCCAGTATTATTATTGTCTTCACAGCAGGAATCGCCCAAGCTCCCAAGTGAAAATAAAGAGAGTAATCAGCAATAGCTTCATTCCCCCATTTCATTCCAGCAGCCAGTAACCATGTTAAGGCCAACATTACCCACCAGAGGGAGCTGGCCATTCCAAAGAAGTAAATAAGTAGAAATACTATTGTGCAAGGAGCAGATCTTTCTGAATTCTGATATCTAACAATAGACCCATCGCATGCCACAGCTTCGTGTCCCATTCCGATTCTGATCAAATAACCTATAGAAACCATAAGGTAACATCCTGATAGGAAGATAATAGGTCGTTCCGGATATCGAAACCGTTTCATGTCAATCATAAATGTTGTTACAGTTATTGTAGTGGATACACAACACAAAACTGCCCATATACTGAGCCACATGGTTGCAAATAGATGCTGATTTTCTGCATTAAATAAGCCGTGACACGGCACAGCACAATCAAGGATAGCGCCACCTTCAACTTTATTGTAGTAATCTCGTTCCATCTGGAAAGTAACCATGGGATATCGACACTGACAGCCACAAACAGAATCAATAGTTAAAGATGGATTATGTTTCAGCACTGAGTCAGACTTCTTAGATTGAGCCCTGTCGTTAACATATGTGTGTCCCCTTTTGGGATGTATTTCACTCTCTATTATACCTTTATCATTTTGAGAAGGGTTTTGCTCATTGATATTGAATGTTGGATCTTGAAACTCAGCCCCCTCTAGCTCATCCATACATAGATGACCTGGATCTCCATATTCAGGAAAACTTTCACAGTTCATTCTCTCAGGCCACGCAAATCCATACTGCCTCAGGAGGGGAGCACATCCGAGCCGCGCTCTCTCGCAAACAGAACGACATGCTGGAATAGAACCTTGATAATCTGGCATGCAGATAGGTGTGTACAAGGAGCATAGAAAAAACCGTAGATCATCAGAACATTGGATCTCAACCAACGGCCAAAACTGATGAACCTCAAATCCTGCTTCCTCTTGAGTGGTATGATAAAACGGGTTAGGCATGGATGTTGCATTGTAACCAATGTCCTTACACATAGGAATAGAAATTTCCTCACACTGATTTGGTAATCTAGTGATCGTTGAAGCATCCACGCACACCAATATAACAAGGTTTAATAGCTTGTAAATTATCATGCCGTTTTTCAGGTGGGTTTTACATTGGATATTTAACATTATTGATATTACGTATAATAATCCATTACACAATTGTTTAAGCTCGTCTGGGCAGCTATTGGTTCAATGTGAGCACATGAATATCAGAAGTTTACAATAATCAGAAATCAACAATTGAAACTGTATATTGTTATTTAATGTGTTGGAAATAATTTTGCAACGTTTCTTTCAGTGATCCCCAGAAACATCGAATAAAGAAGCTCGGGTTTCTTCAATTCTTCTGTATGTGAAATAAACTCAAGTAGAACCTCATGGTGTAAACAACTGCATTCCTTAAGTACGGGTTTTCACGAAGTAAACCTAATAGAAACGACAAGCTTATTAACATGTATTATTTATTTGACATTGTGGAATGTATTATAACAAAAATTATACTATATTGTTCAAAACAAAATATTGTTAATTAAACACAATAGAATATTTTTTGGAATTTGTGTTTACTTCACAGTCTATATTTACTATTATTATTATTATAATAGTTTACTTACTTAATTAAACTAAATTATTGTTTACACTGTAATTTTAAAACTAATCTCTATAGGTGTAAGCTTATATCTAATACGACGTTAATTGTTTTCTGGAAGTATGTTATGCACAAGTATCGGAGTAAGATATATTTATGATTAAAACTGGATTAATTCTCATTTACCAGCTGAAAGTGTTCCATGATTTTAAATATTAGCAGAGGTCAGCAGCACTCCATTCTACATAGAACGGAGCTGGAAGATCATTGATTTTTTTTTGCATAAGTTTTTATTTGGAATGATGTAAAATCAAATTTTGGAAAATAAAAATAATATGTTACTGAGTAAGGCAAAAGTGAAGAGAAAAAAGTTTGAAATGTCAAACTCTTGAGAATAAATCGTAGAAAATCCTGAGGAATTCACAACTGATTTATTATATCAGACAATGTATGATTACAGTCAATATATTGGCAGCGAAAATATACAAAACAAACATGTAGTACTTTATAATAATTGTAACATGAAGAAGAAGACAACGTTATTGCCCTTAAATATAATAAAAATATTGAATTTCTATTGGAATCGTCTTTTCTCAGTGAATTCTTAAACTATGAACCAGTAGTAGAATATGGTAGGATTGTTAGAAACTAAAATATCCTGTGCATGGAGTTGAGAATTGTGTAATTATGCATAATAAATGAATTATATTTCTTAATTCACATACCAAAATTTTGTTTGTTTGAAGTTAAGCACAAAGCTACACAAGGGCTATCTGTGCTCTACCCACAACGGGTATCGAAATCCGGATTCTAGCGTTGTGAGTCCACAGACATACCGCTGTGCTACTGGGGGGCATATACCAAATCTTTGTTTGTTTGTTTTTTATAGCAAAGTCATAATGGGATGTCTGCTACGTCCACCGCGGGGAATCGAGCCCCGAATTTTAACGTCGTAAATCCGTAGATTTACTGTCTTTATGAATTAAGTGAATAGCTTACTTAGGAAAGCATTTAATTTGTCAATGTAACATACTTATTGAGCGATTTTATTTTTGTCATCAAAATCAGTTCCCGGATTGTATCAGTTCGTTGAAGCCACCAAAAATTTGCGTTTTATACATTAAAGAGGTTAAATTGTTAGGATTTATTAAACTAAATGTATTCTCACAAATGTTAGCATTCTTACATACATCGTTATGATCGTTTATTTTTTAAATTTCAACACTTTTTATATCATGTATGAGAAGAAAAAATTAAAGGCTTATGTTTCCATTTGATTCTTTAATTTTCAAGGCCGTTTGAAATGTTACTTTCCTCTGGAGTCTCGTGTGTGGGTTGTACGTACGTGAAATGATCAAAGCGTAATGTTTTATAATTATTATTAAAGGTTAAAACTTGAAAACAGATAGAACAAAAAACTCTAGATCTGAAAAACAGTAAACGTTTACAACACTAAAATCTGGTACGAATGCACTGGCTAAGTAAAAGATCTTAAAATGGCTAAATATTATACTACAAGCTATTGTGTCAAAGATGACAATAGAGGGTTTGCACAAGTATCTGTTTAATTTGTTTAATATTTTACGTAGGTAATAAAATAAATCAAGATATACTTACTAACAGATTTGATCTATAAAAAGTAGAATAAAAGATGCAATTATATATGTATATGATGTACAGGAGGATTGCAAACACTGAAATACGATCTAAGAAACTTGAGTTTGTTTTATTTTATTTTTTTTACAATTACTTAAACAAATAGTGATAATATAGAACCAATACGTCCGACATACCCAAACCCTGTCCTGATGAGCCCTGATATCAATTCAAATACCCGGTCGGCACTGAATATCTCAGGTATAGTGTGGTTGACACATTGTTATATACTAGTATCTTTATTGCAACAGTATTTCTTTCAAATTTAGGATTTCTAGAATAATACAAAATAATTCTAATGACAGACACCGAAGTCTTTAAGTCACTTTCTTAGGCCTAACATTAGTTAAACTTTTATTAAGTACTGCGTAAATTCGATAAAGAGATAAATTAACACTGTAACGTGTATACGTTTTTGCTTTAGTTTCTTTAGGGATAGACTTAACCGTACTTAATAATATTAATAAATGAAATGTATTATTCTACGATCTAACATTAGACCATTTTTAAAAACTTTGATTAGCTTTTAATATGTTGTTGTACAAAAGTATGTTTACATTCTCCTGTTTTTAATTTACTGTTTTTATTAATAAGTGTTAAAATACACTACATAGTGAGATAAGAATGGTGTTACCTGTATTAACAAGTGTATAACACTTATATAACAATGATTTTAAAACGTTAATGAAACAATTATAGTTGTTATAGCTTGATTACCTTAAAGAGTTGGGAAAAAATAATTTCCTGAAGTCATAAAAAATTGTTTTTAATATTTAAAGATTACTTTTCTTTTCAACTTAAAAGTACAAAATCCAAAACGTCCATTTTTAAAACGAAATATTATTTTATTTTCACTGTAATATTTCAGAGAAAATTAATAAACGGGTTTTAATTTCACACAAAATGTGTATATTATCGCACGAAATGTCTAATATACACTGCCTTATTTCACAGAATCTAAATATTAACTTCTGTTTGTTTTCAGCTGTGAAAAAAACTCGGCAAAATGTGAATTTCAAAACAAGATAATGATAAATTAATACCTGGTTTTAAAACCATTTGTTGTTTTCGAACTTTAAGCTTCACTTTAAACGTATAATTTTTCTTTATCTCCGTGCGTTTGTTCCTGTTTTTCCAATGTGTTTTTATTATTTTAATGTGCAAGAACTGAGAACAGTGTTTTAATCAGTGAAATGCAGAAACATACAGCAAGTTCGAAATGTTTATGTATCGAAAGAAAAGTGACTATCTATCTAATAAGCATCTTCAGCTTTCTGTTTCTACTTCTTTTCTAATAAATCATTATTATAATTACCTGAAATCTGATTCTCACTTAATATCAGACAATTAAAAAAATAGCAAACATCTAAAAACATTTATAAAAGTAGAACAAGATTGGATATAACACAGTGTTGTGTTTTCATTTCATACTCCTACAGTAAAAACAATGATAAAATTAGAACAAGATTGGATATAATAGTGTTGTATTTTTATTTCGTACTCCTACAGTAAAAACAATGATAAAATTAGAACAAGATTGGATATAATAGTGTTGTATTTTTATTTCGTACTCGTACAGTAAAAACAATAATAAAATTAGAACAAGATTGAATATAATAGTGTTGTATTTTTATTTCGTACTCCAACAGTCAAACAATGATAAAATTAGAACAAGATTGGATATTATAGTGTTTTAACATACAGACACTGAAGTACTTCCAACTGATTCTCCTATCTTATAGGTCGTACCTAACATTTTGTTTTTACTTGTAGAATAGCATCCTCAAACGTCTCCATCTCGTTTGCCATAAAGCAGAAATCGTGTTTTGTGTTTCCCATTTATGACTAACTTCGTACTTCATTCCCACAAGTCATTCTGTGTTGATGTAGTGACGTATTTTGCGCATGTTCAGTAGTGCAATATTGTTACAAGTTATTTTGAAATGTTACTTCAAGCTACGTGTTTTGTGAGTGTCGCGTGTCAAATAATTAATATTTAAATTCGAGGTCCAGGTTTTTCTAACTTCTTGTTTCGCCACAAAAACATAGACAACTCGGGTACGTAAGTAAATACAAATATATATATATATATATATACGTTTTTTAATTTATTTCACTGTTTCTTGAGATATTACAGAAAACTGCCTTTGCAATGGGCCGTTGCATAAATCCAGATTCGTCATGTGTATGGCTTATATACGTATCACTCTTTACCAGTGGAGCTTATCCAGCTGACGAAACAATGGATTCTGATGTTTATAATAACCTGATAACAGTATATTTAATTACCTAAACTCATAACTAGGTTGCTTTTTAGCTCTGATCTATGTATTTAAGAAGGCTGCGTTGGTGAGAACTCAACACTAATTAAAGTGAAAAGCACCACTGGGAATATAGATTTTTAGGGTGAGGAAAAACAACCCATCATTTCAACATCACCTGCTTTTCAATATCAGTGAAAACGTTTTTTGTTTAAATATCAGCAGATTTGCGAGTGTTTGTTTTTTAATTACCTTTAAGTCACAAACGCGAAATAGAATGTTAAGTATTTCACGTATACACTTTAAACAAACCGAATGAATGTTTTTATAACACTCGTGTTGTAAATCAGCTTTTTATATAAATTACATCATTTAAACAACAGTTGCCCCCCAGTAGCACAGCGGTATGTCTGCGGACTTACAACGCTAGAATCCGGGTTTCGATACCCGTGGTGGGCAGAGCACAGATAGCCCATTGCGTAGCTTTGTGCTTAACTTAAAAAACAAAAGACAAACATAAACAACAGTTAAGACGTTTGTATCTAATTCTTAGCTTAGTCATCCAAACGAACAATTATTAC